ATCTTGAACAAAAGGTGCTATTTCGTGAGCACCCAGCTCGTGACTCGTGACTCACTATGGTCTGAGGGTTCCAAGGATGATATGCCCGCTGTGGGCATGTGGCTTTGCAGTTGACATGTTGACCACCTCCCTGCCAATGAGTTCCGCGATGACCTGGGGGCAAGTGGATTTCCCCAAAGGCCACAAAGGTTCACCAGCTTGTCTTACATGGCAGTCACTTGAGTCATACAGTAAAGTACAATGGGATTGCCGATTGTGGATTTGACATGTGTTGATGAGGATATCAATATGCAGCAAATTCTCCTCCTATGCTTCAACATCACGCCATTTGCCTCGAGCATCTTCCAGCAGGCATCCTCCAGCTGATTGCCGCTGTCCAACGTCATCTCTAGCAGCTCTAAGACGTTCTCAGTCGTGAGCCTGCTCAACAACTCCAAGTCCACCTGGCATTGAAGTCCCAAAACCACCGTGAACTCCGCAAAGTAAACGAACAGCCGACTCAAGTACGTCCCATGCACGCACCCCCCCGACACACTATGGACACATCGTTGCTATGTCACATAAACATCTCAAACACACCCAGTTCGGAGGATGCTGGTCTAGGCACCATGCATGTGTCAAACTGGCTCAACTGCATTCAAACATCAAAGGAACGATACCCCAAACACCAACGACACAAGAACGAGTTCAAATGGTCAAGCGCCCTTTGGACGCTTCGCCATGCCTTGGCCACCAATGAGAAGAGGCAAAACTGATCAGCAAGAGCCCTGACCATCTGGGCAGTCTCCAGATCTTCAAAGCTGAAGGAGTCCGTCAAGATGAAGCGTAGGATGGCCGACATGGACTTGCAAGTGGCTTTCTCCTGGCCAAACCCATGTTTTGTGGTTTCAACTGCTAGTTCGGGAAACGTGAAATGATGCGATGCCTTCGCTAGCTTGGTGTTCAACTATTCAACTGAATATGCCTCAAACAACCACCCTTTGGAGAAGAACCCTTCCCTTCCAGCCTCTTTGCGCAGGTCGATCTGCCCAGTGCGAGATTCCCTCCAGTCCTGCATGAGTGGAACAACGGGTCTCACACATCACCACCCAAAGCCACCCAAAGCATGTTTACATCATATGAGATGGGTGGGTGTGGGCAGGTGATGTATGTGTTTTTTGTGTGTATCTGATGAATATAGATATATCTTTTTGAACTTTAGAGCTGCGTTGCATTACGCCAATTACATTTGGTTTTCCTTTGCCAGAGTGATTTGAAAAGGACACGATCCAAACAGCATCCTCTCTCCCATTCTCTTTCCAACAAACCCAGGCTGCGACGGGAGACAGGCCCGAGCAATTCGTCCAGTCCTGGGCGTGGTTGGACGCCAGCATGTTGCGGAAATACTCAGAGCGCGAGATCAACAGCCGCTGGTCAAAGAAGAGACTTCCTGCGGAACCAGTGTTCCAAACGGCCGCATGTTTTCAAGTGCCTGCCTCTGGCGGCCACAAACGGCAGTAAGTCTGTAACATTCACCTGAACTGTGGTGGTTGTTGGGCAAGAATTGGTACTCTTATATTCTAGATACAGCAATGTCTTATGTTGTGCACACCTTGATAAAGGGAACTATGAAGAAAACATTATTAAGCGACAATTCGCAGCGACAATCCTCTAAGGCAAATATGCGCCAGCTATGCGTGATCAAGTCTTCCTGTATATATATAATATATATATATCGATGTCTCACTGGCATCGTCGACCTCTTTTCTGTCCACGTTCTTCCCTGTTTTTCACTGGCATCCTCGCCTTCGGCCAAGCGAAAGGTGGCAAACTTGGGCTCCTCCGCGAAGTCCAGCGACACAAAGGCTTTCGAGAGCCCAAACTGTGCGGCTCGCTGCTGCTCAGCCCATGGCACCCACACCTGCTTCGAATCCGTGCCGTGCACGACCACAGGGGAGACAGGACGCAAGAAAGCACACATCGATTCAACAGGCCGAAAGTGTGACCAAATAAAGAGGGGTGTAGAAGAGCCCTGGTGGTTTTGTTCCCTGCCCGAAGAGTTTCCAATGGGGCCATTTGGATACTTGGATATCTACATATATATATATATCTACATATATAATTCTCTCTTTCTCTCTCTATACATATATATATATATGTGTGTGTGTGTGCGGCGGCATTTATATGGTACTAAAATGTACCAAACTCAAATACACTATCCATTATGTCGGGGGCCTATCTCGTTTAGACTACTTAAGTAGGAGGTCATGTCACTGTATCTCGTTCAGACTACTTTAGTAGCAAATCACACAATCTCGTTCAGACTACTTTAGTGTCATCAAGCAAAAGCATCTCGCTTATGTGGGGGCCCTATCTCGTTCACAAGCAAATACTGATGATAGACAAGCAAATAGAGCATGCAGTAGACTACTTTAAAGCCTAAATAAAAGTGGTTGCTCATATGACTTCATGATTCTTGGATAGAGGATGATGGAGTCTCTTTCCATTCGCACCAGCAGACCCCGCGTCATCGGTTTTTCCCCACCTCTGCAGCCAGAACCACTTCGTCTTCGCCCGTCGATGAGGTCCTGGTATAGGTCCTGGAGCATCTGGAACAGGACGGCCGCCGCATCCCAAAAGCATGGACTCTCCAGGGAGCACATCACATGGTTACGTGGAGTGAAAACCACCTGTTTTGGTATTCCGAACAGGGTCATTCAAAGGGCCACGGCATCCACTTCCATGAAGATATTTCATGTCCAGTAGTGTAGGTGATGTGACATGACATGCTTGTCCCACAAACAAACATCACTGAAGATCTGCTCGGGAATTTCAATATATGTAGATCAATATAGCACCCTCCCCCAGCATAGCAACTGACTGGAACCTGCAAGATGTTGCCTGAAACGTGGTAGCTATGTCATATATAAACGTGGTAGCTATGTCATATATGTCACATGTTTGGTGTTTCCCGTGTCTCACGGATGAGTGATAGGCCACCCCTGATGAAGCCAGTGCCCTACTATGATAAAACACCAAAGCCCCACTTGGCCTCTGATAAAATGCTGGACCTCCCACAACATGGCTCAAACCAAACGCCAAACTGTGGCCATCAGCTCTGTTCTCCGCCTCGGGTGGGTCTCGTTCTTTAAGAGGTCGTGCCATCCACGATCTGCTTGTTGTTCCGAGAAGTCGAAGGTGTCATCAAACTTCAGGTCTGAATTTCTCGCAGTCTGAGATCTCACCATGATGCTGTAGCGTACATTCATGCACTTCCATCCCTCGTATCCAGCGTTCTCAGGAGAATAGTCCTTCATGGCCTGAGGTGGGGTAGCCTCCACAAACGCCGACAAGGGCCGAAAACTTCGAAGTTGATTTCGGTCAGTTCTGCTGACTTCAGTTCCACTCGGGAAAATCAGCAAACTAAATCGAAAGGCATCTGTGGGCCCGCTCAAGGGCGAACGTATGGAATCACCCGCTGAATAGCTCTCTCGATCTTTGATGGTAAATTCCGGGATTGAAATGGGCATCCGCATCTTGTTCGCCATGGCGAAAGCCCGGTAGAACGCTGAAGGGCTGAAGAACACACAACACCAACACATCCTTGCAAGCTGACGGCTGAGTGTCGTTGTCTTTCGCTGAGGTTCTTTCGGTAGATTCCCTGTGCTGCTTGTCATCTCTGCATTGAGTTTAAAAACGCGTGCAATGAATGGCGCAAAGGAGCCATTTGTCCTGGATATGGAGGCTTGAGAGGGACGCAAAGAGGGGCGGCTCATTGCTGAACATGCACCTGGCCTCAAACGTCCACCCGGGCCGACAGGGTTGAACGACCAGTCCAGTCCTGGCCTTTGGGATTCTGCAGTCCCTCTCTGCCAGTGCCGCTACTGAAGTGCGGAACCAGTGGATGAGTGTTTCATGGTGCTTGAGCCCTTTTCCAAGAGATCAGGGAGCAGCTGCTTTTCACCCGACTTGAACCTTTGGAAGAAACCTCGACATGTCCATCGGCCTCGACCTGTCCGACACCACGAGCTGAAGAAAACCATCGACCAACGAAGATGCACTCCAACAGGATCCGGTCATTGCGGACCCTAAAAGGTGTCCGAGAAAGGGGCTGGTCCAGTTGCGGCACGGCTCCCGGTGGACGTTGGATCGGTCGCCACAGATCCGATGGTCGCTGATCCGACCGTTGTTCCAGATTTATAGATTGAATCCACTTTGAAATAAAGGTTGGGTTGTCCAGTTTGTAGTAGGAATCTACAAAAAGCTGTGACCGAAGCCTCTTTAGAATTGTTAAATCGTGATATATGTAATTGTAGCATATTGTAGCGGTATGGAACACCAGCATGGAGCTGGTCCTTTCCGTTGAGCCTGTCCCGGTAGAGGAACTACGACCACACCAACCAACTAGTCTGTTACGCCTCAGGTGGCTCGGACTTCTTTTCACGACTCCGGGGTATCGCACGTGCGTATGCCTAGGGTCTGGAGTGCCTTCAGTTCTAGCGGAGGCCTGCGAGCCCAAACTCTAGATCCAGGAAACCATACCAGCAAAGAAAAAGGCCTTCACACACCTCGCCGAGGTACAATGGTTCGATGCGACAATCGGCAGCCTGGGTCGCCCACCTTGAGCCCCAATCGCTTCGGTGTTTTGACCCAATCACTCAGCAAGGTCGGGGACATACGAAGGCGTGTGCACCCTCAGGTGTCTGAGGTCCTGGGGGTTTTCTTGGCAAAACAAATGTGAACAAAGCAAACATCGATCAGGCTGGGCTGTGCTGGACAGGTTTGTCTGTTTCAATGTATATCTGCACATCTTCCTTTGCAAACCATCGGGATGAGACTGGATCATGTCAAATCGTGTTGCTAAATGCTCGAAGTCCCGAGCCTCTGGCCGCCTCTGGCACGTCCAAAGGAGCATAGTTCAAGGGAACATCTACAGGACGGCCATAGTTTTGGGTGTGAAAAACCGGGGTTTCCTCCAGATGGTCCCTTGAACCAATGAATTTTGAGTCAGCCACCCGCTCCTCGCTTCATCTGAGTCCTGGCAGTTGCCCAGTCCGTGCAAAGAGTTATATAGATCTACAGTGTGAGGGGCAAGGACGGCTCAAACAATCAAGCAGCCTCAAAGGTCCTTTATGTAATATTCCACGCACACACACAGGTATGTATATATATATATACGTATTGCCGCAAATGTATTCCCAACCAAAGGGATCCCAAACAAGACCATGTCACCAGGGCAAAATTTATCATCTCAATCGTGTTAGGTTGAGCCCATTGCGGCGCGAAACCATCAAACGATTGTTGGTGACCAGCGAAGCAAACAAATCAGTTGAGCAGGCCGAGATTGTGTTACAATGTGACATGTGTCTAAAAGGCTGAAGCTTTGGCATCCGAGGCCCATATGGAGAACACCTCTCGTCTCTATAGAATGGGCTGTCAATCCTCGAATCTCTATAAAGGGCCAAATCAGGTAAATCAAAAGAAAGTAAAGAAGGTGACCAACCTGACAAAAAACAAAGAAATCTGGTAAGTGGCTCTAAGAACATGACTAGACTAGACCAAGCTCTGTGATGTATGAATCTGTTTCGTCGTTTTCTATGAAATGCCTTCACTGGACTCTTTTCTCTGTTTGCTAGGCTGCGGAGGTCGCTGGTCCCCGGAGCCGTTTGGCAAACATGCCAACAAACTGAGATGAGGCCATTTCGACAATGTGAACAAATCTGAACTCGTCTCAGAAGACATCTTTTTTTGCGTCACATTGCGCTGGTTCCACGTTGTATTTCTCAGGTTTCTGCGTTGTGTTGTGTGTGTGTGTTCTTTTAGGTTTTTGTGGTGTGTGACTCAGGGCAAGTCCAAGGGACTAAAGGGGAGCTCTAGAATCTATGGAAAAAGAACCTACTATTTTCTCTATGCAATGGAATTCCACATGTCTTCTCTTCTATGAGCCAGAATGACATGTTTGAACATGACTCCTCTATAAAATACAATTTCAAGCATTGGCCTTTTTAAATCCAAGGTACCCTCACCCTCACTCTGGAATGGGTAAATATAAATATACCAGAAATGGCATACTAAAAATGCCAATGGTCCCCCATGTTACAAAGAGACGCACTCACTGGATATGCTTGTTGGGCCACACGAAAACTCTTACCACACGTTCAACACCAACATCCTTCAGACCATTCAGAGACAAATTATGTCAGGTGGGGTGAAGAATCCAATTCTGGTGAAACACGAAGGAGTACAACTCAGGGGTCACATGACCCGAACCTAAAACTCACAATGCTTTTGGTTCCTCATATGACCATGATTCGGGGTCCTTGGTTAGGTTATTTCAATGGTTTGGTTCCTTTCCATAATTTGTTGAAACCCTCCAAAAGCGCCCCACCTCGGATGCACTGGAGCCTTGGCGGCAGGGGAGGGGGTTTTCAAACAAACACCCAGTGGCTTGGCAAAAAGGCCCATATGCATGAAATATCCTCAATCATGTATGGTTCATGCACACATATAGTTATATGGATCTTCTGTGATCTTCTATTCATATATCCATGGCATTTGATGCAATCATGTGATACAGTATATGGATTTCCTATGCTGTGCACATCTGTGCACGCTAACATGTGGATCGAACCATTGGGCGGTTATTGGTGTGGGATGTGATCCAACAGCTGTTAAGCATGGATTGACCCATGCCGGTTGATGCATCAAATTGCACCATCTATTCAAGGCCGAATAGGTCAAAGTTGATCGAGCTGACCCCGAGCGAGGGTGATCCTTCCTTTGGTGGCTCTATGGCTGGTATATACTAACATAACATATCATTCTATGTTCTCTTCTCTTTTCTATCTGCGCGTGCAGGTACAAAAACACACACATACACACACGCAATAAATGCGAAAATGACTCTAAAATGTGTTACTGTGACACAAGTGTCACCTGTTTGGAACATTTGTGGGGCCAAACGGGGTAAACAGTCAAAGCTGCCCAACCAAGGGAGACCAAAGTCCTTCTGAAAGCACTTGTTGCGTCGGCTTTCTGGCTCTTTTCTGGCTCTCTCTGTCTCTGTCAGTCAGTCTTCCTGTCTATGTGTATTTATATATATATATATTATATATGGCTAACGCATACATAAACCAACACAAAAGCACGCTCTGGTAGTTCTCCCGCAGCGACGACCATGCACTGACCTTGCACACTGACGAGAGGTGAATCCCCCTCAAACATGTAGTGCACTATGGATATAACAGTATGTTTTTAGAACCTTTTCTCAAACCTTTCCATTCATATGGTTCGTGCCCTTCTACCAAAGTTAACACCCTGAAACAAACAACCGGTGCTTGGACGCACGTCCCAGCGAGGCATACACCTGTGGTTCAGCTGCTGTGCTCTGCTGCGCTCTGCTGCTCACCCCAAACGTCAGCTGCTTCGGATGTGCGACCCAGTGGCTTGAAAGGTCAGAATCTGGATGTTCAGTGACCTCACAGTGTGTGGAGACGAGGTTGCCAATACTCTTTCTGAAACAATCCATGGAAGTGGATGGCATGTCCATCCAAGGACCATCTTCCTCTTTTCAGGTGATCCTGGTCAGCTTCCATGTCCCTTGGAGGGTCAATAGCCCTTCGTGGTGTGAGAGGGTGGACCGGATCGAACGTGTCACCGGTGTCACCGATGTCACCGCTCCAATCGCTCCTCCTGGCTTTCGCGACTCGAGCGGTCGCTCGCCAGGTGGACCTTCGGCGAATTCGCCGTGGAGCATCCAACAGGGTCACCATGGCTGGAGCAATAGACTACCTACCTACTACCCTACGGCCCTACACGCCTGATGGACATCCAGAACGCACACCCCATTGGATGATCCTGGAAAGAGGATAAAAACAGGTTGGAACCTGTGGAATCCTCCGGCTTGGCTAAGGCATGTCTGTCTCTCTCTCTCTCTCTCTCTGTCTGTGCAGGCTAGCTGATGGCACCCAGCTGTCCCACAGGGACACTCTGATGGGCCAAGGTCTGTACATCCCGATCATCCCATTCATTCTGCTTCGGAGACCCGCTGACCCCACGCGAGGTCACGGTCACGGACTTGCCCCACATCCCCCAAAATCCCGCACGACGTCACGACACAAGCCACGGTATTGCAGCAGCCACCCCGATGAAAATGGATCAGCAAAACAAACTATATATAAACACACACATATATATATACATACCTAAACTACTACCTAAACTGATCTGGCTGGGCAAAGGTTTCACTAGACTTATTCTATCTTATTCTGTGCACAAGGTCATAGACAGTGTCAGATCTTGTGAGTGGCAGGCTTGTTGCAGGCGCCACGGCACCCCCCCAAACGCATTTTTGAAACCACAACTGCAAGGTCGGATCTTGATGATTTTAACCCACAAAAGATCCCCCTTGCAATTCGGCCTCCCTCTTGGACTGTCTGATTCTTTAGGAGGCCACCTGCCACCTGCCACCTTAAAGAATCCTCAATCCACAGTGCCCATATCAACATGTCAGCTTAAAGAATCAGGACTCTGCCAACACATACTGGGCACTGGCCCTAAAGAATCAGAACACGTTGAGCACAATGCGCACACACCTGTGACACCCGGACTCCCCCTAAAGAATCAGAACTCCTGGTACCAGTCCATGATGACAACAGCACACAACCAGTCCATGCGTGTGGCAAAAAGTGCACCTCTAAAGAATCACACTCCGTTGCCACTCTAAAACATGCATGGTGAACTCTAAAAAATGGATGGTGAACTCTAAAGAATGGCCTGCTTTTTGACAACCCGGGTTGGCTGATTTCCTAGAGGAAATTGCAAGGGGGATCACAAAAGGCACTATAGAAACAACATGAAACAAAACGTCACGATTTGTTCTTACACATGCATCTTCTTCTTTAAGCAAGAATAAGAACAACATTACAAACTACAAGGAATCTGAAGGTCGTTTTGTAAGTACAACTCTGGGACATCTTTTGGGGTCGCTTGAACGCGGAACTACGGCGCGCGGAACTACGGCACCTGCGCGTAGAGCCGGGGCCAATGCACCTGGAAAAGATATACTCACTGCTGCTAACTGGTGGTGCAAGAGTCAAGTGGTCTAGATCGGTCATGGATTTCAAAGGAAAACATCGTTAACTACAACAATCATATACACTAAAACTATCTAAAACGACGAGTATTGCCAACAAACATGCTGCTTTGGTTCGTTTGGTGTCGTTTGGTGGTCTGCATGTCGCGTGTGGTACGAAAGAACACCCGTTCTGACAGCCGAGACGTGGCTGCACGTCAAGGCAGGGCACAAGAGTGAGCAAAGCAAGTGATGCCTCCAGCACTTCTAGAGAGCGGGTGTGCTTGGGAGAGCGCACACTAGCTCAGAACCCTTTAGAAAACACTGTAAATACCGTGCAAATTATCAAAACCTGCTCCGTTGGTCACCAGTTTGCGAAAGGCAGCTCTGCCAAATGCTTTGTTCTTCTGAGCAACTCCTGACTTCTTCAAGGTGTCAAACGTCCACCACATCGCACCTGAAGATCCTGGGCTCTTTCCTCTTTCCTTTGGTTCCTTTAGTTCCGACGCTCTTTCCGACGCAGCAGCGCCTCCAAGGACTTCTGGGCCTCACAGCGCTTGGGGCCACCTCAAACGAAAAGAAACCAACAGGAAAAAACAGCACGGGAGCCAAAAACACAAAAAACAGCACGGGAGTACGGTAACTATATACAAATATCTTATATATGTACACTATGTTGGCTGGAACGCAGCCTGAAATAGTCCGAACATGTCTGAAGTTTGATTGGCACGCTTGAAAAGACCAACTCTCGCCAGCTCGAAAGGTCACCTACTCTCACTTGGGCCGTGGCAAATGTATGCATGACACCTGGAACAGTCAAGTTGCAGCCACTCCAGGTGGTGGGCTTCAGTGTGAGCAGTCGCAGTCAATTCAGTTCCCTCACCATCAAGTTACGTTTGCTAGTTTGCTTCAACTTGGGCCAATGCAGAAGTCAAGAATAGCAAGACACTTCAGAACGACCGCATGGGAAGATATCAGGACGGCACCAGGTCACCTGGTGCCTGACTTCCCCAGCATCAACTGGGAAACCCAGTTCACCTCCCCAGCGTCAACTGGACTTCCCCCGGTAGATTTGCAAACACTTGGATCCGTAGCCATCGAAGATCCACACACCGACGCACCGGGTGCCGCCTGGGCCGGGCGCGGGCGCTCGGCTGCCCATCCTGGCGGGGTGAAAGGCGTTGGAAGATGCAGGTCTTTGAGCGTTTCTCAAAAGAGATAGACCCTCCAATTTGTCAAATGAAAACAAAGAAAACACGATATATAATCCTTTTAACATACGAATCATCATCTTTTGTTGAGCGACCCAGTGACCCCATCATCATCTTGGTGGTTCACCACGAAATCCACAAAAACACGACCCAAAAGCTTCGATCCTTTTTGGAAACACCACAAAGAGGGCACAACTAGTATAGGAAGCAGTGAGAGTATAAGAATTAAAGACAGACCGTCCTCTGAGTGATCGTACTAATGTAGACGCTTGATTAATAAACCCCCCCTTTGAAGAGGATTTTCAATTCAAATGGGGTGGTGTATTAATCAAGAGATATCAAGAGTCTACATTAAAACTTCCCATCGCACTTCATCTTATATCATCGTCATCTCGGAGAGTTGATTCAGCACCCCTGCCCACCCCACTGACCGACCAGTCCCTGAAAAGATCGCCCCATCCCGAGCGATGCCGTTGTCGTTTTACTCTTTAAGCCCGGTCAAATCCAAATGGCAGCAGAATGCGGACCGAAATGTATGTTCACCGATCGGCGATGCTTATGCTTGGAGGGACCACCCAGCCACCCTCCAAGCTCGCCAAAAAGGCCACCTTTTGAGCGACTCTTACTCGAAGGGTCACCAAGGGTCCGACTCTCAGCTGAAACAGTCGACCCTGCTGCGAGAAGTCGGCTGCGAGAAGTCACGAGTTGGTCTTCGGTTTCTTGCGTGAGACCTCCAAGAGCATGGATGTGCTACTGTTTGTTGTAAATGAGCATGGATGTGCTACTGTTTGTTGTAAATGTTGTAAAACAGTGACCCATCATCTATATATATATATATATACATTTTTTGCACACCTTTTATATACATATGATTACATATGTATATAAAATGTGTATATATACACTTACAAATCACAAATCCACACGCCGCGCGGCACACATTCTTCGCCCCCGCCTCGATGGGGATCGTGGTGACATTCCACGCGAAGGCCTTGTGGCGCAGCCAAGGCAGCACCGACTTGGGGCGGTGCATGCTGACCTCACGGACGTGGACGCCCCCGGACGCCGTGGAGTCCGGACGTGGATCAATCCAGCGAGCACTCCCCAGCATGAACCACAGGAGATTGGTTGTGGTGGCATATATGAATTGTAGGATGTTGTCGGACACACACATATATACATACACTGGGGTGCCAAAAGTTGCGCTTCTTGACTTGCAAAACATCACAA